GAGAGCAAAGAAATACTTGAAAGATGGAAGAAGTATTGTGGAGAAATGTACAAAGATTCAAAAAACATGCCAGATAGTGCCAAAGAAATCGAAGAAGAAGAGCCTGAACATTTTTTTTAGAGGAAGTAAGAATAGCAATAAAGAACCTGAATTCATGCAAATCCCCGAGATGTGACGACATACCAGCAAAGTTAATTCAGGCTGGAGGAGAGGTCAGAGTATTTCTATATCGTGCACTATGTGTGAAAATCTGGAACGGGTCTGACTGACCCAAAGCCTGGAAAAAATCAGTATATCTTCCTCTCCCCCAAAAAAGGAAATCTCAACATGTGTAACAATTATCGCACTATAGCTCTAATTAGTCATGCCAGCGAAATCCTTCTGCATATCATTCTGAGGAGGATTGAGAATATTTTGGAATTCGAACTACAAGAAACACACGCGGGCTTTAGACGTGGCAGGGGAACAAGAGACCATATTATCAATATGAGAATGGTCCTAGAGAAGTGTAGAGAATACAAGATAGATCTTCATACTTGTTTCATTGACTAAGCAAGGCATTTGTTTGTGAGCAGCACCATAAACTATGGCATATAATGAGAGGCATGGGATTTCCAAATCATCTGGTGCACTTAATGGAATCTCTTTACCACAAACAACAAGTAGCGATCAGAGTATCTGGTGAAACATCAGAATGATTTGAAGTGCAGAAAGGAGTGAGACAGTGCTGCATTCTTTCACCCTTCCTCTTTAACATATATGCTGAAAATTAAACGCAATTAGCGATGAGGCATGTGAGAGCTTTGATCCACTAAAAATTGGAGGTAATCCTATCCCAGAACTCAGATATGCAGACGACACAGTTCTCCTTTTTAACAATGTACACGGTTTACAAAAATTAATTCTGGTCGTAAAAAAAAAAAAAAACATCACAGCGAAGAAGTGAATCTGTCTCTGAATTTTGAAGAAACAAAAATTATGTCCTCAGTACAGCACTCCAACCACGTATCACAATCTAAAATGAAGAAAAATATAACAGATTTCGAATACTTGGCTTTTTAATAAACAACAGTGTCGACTGCTCATGAAATGAACCTTGGCTTTACTTGAAATGCGTCGTGGTTTGCACCGGCTTTAACATCTAGGGTTGACAACACAAACGCCGCTCAGCTCCTTTGTACATGCTGTCAGTTTATTCAGTTACATTTATTCCCCATCCTTCAATAATTATTCACACTTCTATCACTCGCGACATATTCGAACACTAACCATTCGCGCGACATAAAGACGACATCTTCAACCAAATGCAACCGTCTTCCTCAACTTCTGTTGATCCACTGACCCGAGTCTAGCTCGGGCTTCACCTCGCTTACTCGACTAGCCACAAGTATCTCGTGCTGTCACTTATTGCACGGACTTTCTACTTGCCACAATGTAATCGTGGAGACCATGCAAAGCAGGGTCATCACAACTCAAAAGAAGTCAGAAGAAGACTTGCATCAGCGAAGAAACTATGGCAAAGCACTAGTAAATTGGTTAAAGTCAAAATCTTGAGATCATGCATTTTTCCTGTGGCAACTTACGGTTGTGAGTCTTGGACTTTCACACCCAGTCACTGTGGAAAAAAGACTGAGGCTTTTGAATTGAAATGTTATAGAAAAATTCTTAGAATACCATGGATCAGGAAGAGGAAAAACATCGACATTCTGAACGAGGTGAACATCAAGGAGAACGGGCTCATAAACATCATCCTGTCCCGAAAGTTGAAGTATTTTGGCCACACCAAGCGTCATGGTGGCTTGAAAAAGTCGGTGATGGAAGGCGCAGTTTGTGGAAGGCGAGGCAGGGGTCGACCACCGCGAAAATGGATACAAGACATTGAAGATGCGTTGGCATTGAAAGCACATGGGGCCGGAGAGCTGGCTAGGGAAAGGTATACTTTCAGGCGTGCCGTGAAGTGAGCAACGTTCTTTAAGGTGGGTGTAGATGGTCTTACTTCACTTTGAGAAAAGCAACAGCCCTGGTGTTGTACACTTGTGTTGTACACTGCGTTGTACACTTTGTTGTAGTACACTGTATCTTCAAGAACCAAGTATTTAGGTCTAGGGTGCCAATTCTAGTATTCCGCTGGATATCTCCTTGATGGATGTGCTACAGTGAAGTCCTGCTTACTATAACTGGCACATTTGGCCCATCATCATCTAATACAGTTGTTATTTTTACGAGTCAACAATAACGCTTGTTACAGGCCACATAAACTTTAATGGCTTTAAAGTTACACGTCACAAGATGATGATGATGAATCAATGAAACATGTACGATAATAAATCTTTATTATCTACTCTTATGATATAACAATCTTTCTCAATGGACTCCTGCCATTATAAGAAACAAACAGACATTCAACTGTCTCCCGTAAGTACGGTTAATCCAAACCTCACAAAGAGGGAACGTCCAGCTTGGACAAGGAAAATATCTTGACTCAATTTTTTCACACATCCAACTTGGACAATGGAAACTTCTCAACTGCTTGGGTCTTTGTCCTATACGCCCAGCATTCAATTAGCTCGTATCCTAGGTAACGACCTGTGGCCGCTGTGTGAACCTTTCACCTGCGCTGTGACCACTAGAAGAAACTAGAAGAAACTTTAACTCTTGGACAATAAGATTACAACACCTGGATAGCTTGATTCTGTGTTTCATTGTGGGGAAATCCAGGAGGTGTCGCATGGATTTACAAGAGGTGTCTCAAGTACATTCAAGAATAGCACAATGGTAGTAATCCATAAGTACTCGGTTCTACTTCTAACTCAAACATGAGCCCGAAGAATCTCAGCGATGTGTGCGAACTCTGTAGCACCGGCGAGGATCCTGAAATACTTAGGGTAGATTTTTAACTCTAGATTTTGCCCAGGCAGCCCCCGTTAGGCTACTGTTTTCGATTTCCAAGGGGGAATTACTAGAAGTCCACGTGAAAAAAATCCCAGCCTTCACTGGTGCCTGAACCCAGAACTTCCAGCAATCGATGCGGACGCCATGCCTCGAAACCATTCAGCCACAACCCCCCCCCCCCCCCCCCCCCTGAACCGGTAGCGATATTACAAACCACGTCTGACTCTATTTATTAATAGCTAAAGTCAGACGTGTACTAGCAAATAGAAGAAGAGTTTCAGTTTCGTTTCTAGCTATTTCCAGATAAACAAAATCACGTGACCGTTACAAGGAAACCATTTAAGCATTAGTTTTTTCATCGAGGTGGGTGTTTGGCTGTTATAAAAACCAGGTTTAAATACTATTTATTTTTGCTTATTTTAGCTAAAACAAATATGTTCATATAGTAATCAAGAAAATTTTCTAATTCTTTATTGAATAACAATTATAAAAAAAGCTGTTCAGTGTTATACAAATAATTTGTCTCATCATGTATAACGTCTAGTCTGTGTTATAATATTTCTGGTATGTATATGATTTATTAATTGAATATTCGTATATGGTAAGGTATAATGTAAAATCTTTTCTGTTCGCACAAATAAGAAATAGTATTAATTATCGAACATCCCGTGTTATAACAAAAATTCGCATAATTTAGTAAAATGCTAAAATAATTTCATGTTTTAGCGAATACAGTTTGGATGCGGAAATTTCCGAAATTGCAAAATCATCACCATCATGTGTCGTGTCGTGCAGATAAGCAAAGGCCAGGGCCACGCTCTTCCATAGCTATAAATAGTCTTTACAGCTTAACGGGGATTCTCGTTTTTGTGAAAGTCCGTTAGGTTGGTCTGTTTTTATCGAGTAGATTTATGCGCAAATTAAACTGCAGTTCAATTCATTTAAAACACATTTTATTAAATGATAATTCATTCTGGGAAAAAATGAACATGCTTTTAGAAATCTAATAAAATTATTAATAAATACATGAAGCTATAGGTAAGGGTGATTTAAAATCAGTAAATAGAAAAAAAAGCAAAAAGAGGAAGAATTCTGAGGGATGTGGAATGGAAACTTAAAGGGAAGGCCTGCCTTCAAATTGTTTAAAACTCCAACTAGACAATATCAGATTACAAGTTTACTAAAGTATCCTTCCTATACTTTTAAAAAACTAAGACTGCAGCTTGGAATAGCTGATTTTATTACATCAGAAAAAGCATGTTCTGTATATCAGATATGTGATTTTGCACATTATAATTTATTATACAGCAAGAAAACACCAAAGACCACAACAAGCAAGTCGTAAGAAACAACTCATTTTGGCTTCCTTTAAAGTAGGTGTGCGTTTGTCTGAGATGCAAGAAACCAGTGGTCTGCACACAAATAAGTCAAATTTCTACAACAGATGTGCATGCAATAATCAGTGTCTGGAACAAGACTAAAACTCCACAAGAAAAGACTCGCTGCCTCCCCAACCAGCGAGTCATAAGAGTCAACTCAGTGTGGCTTCCCACACATCCCCCCACTCCCCTAACTACTCCATAATTTTCTAGAGGAGCTAAGATGCCTCCCTAAGCCATGTGTAGAAATCCTTTTTTACCGAATTTGTTTGTGCATTGAATATTTTTTCTTTTATTTGCCATTCAGTGCAAGATTACTATTATTATGCTGAATGTCAGTTCGGGGAGTAGAGCTGGGCGCCCCCACCCCTTTACAATTTTCTAAGGTGGCAAATTGGTATAATAACATATAGTTAACAAATTTATTGAGCGGGCTGACCCCCCCCCCCTCCCCCTTTCCAGCTCCGGTGCCTATGCCAGCCACTATAGTATTAATTCTTACTTGCTTTTACATTGCAGCAAAATTAAAGTGTAATTTGAGAACTTGATATTTGCATAGAATTTACATATATTTTGTTTTATTTATTTTTACAGAAAAGGATCGAAGTCGACATGACTACATACCTTCATGTTTTTTTGTTTTTTTTTTGGGTAGGAAATGGGTAAATCATCTTAATACTGATTACAAAATAACTGCATAAAGAATCAAATTGACAAAACCGGTGTAAAATGGATGTTGCTGAGGACACAGAAAGAGAATCTTCAACCATAAAAACAGATGATATAGCTCTGATTAATTGTATTGAATCGACGGGAGATAACGAGGTCCTAAAACTGTTGAGTCATAGACAAACATTCTCACAGGATGATCTAGACACATCATTGATGTCCGCTTGTCATCATGGATATAAATTTCTGGTGTATGAACTTGTTCGTTTGGGAGCAGATGTAATGACCAGGGATAGAAATGGGAACACTCCATTGCTGATCTGTGCAGAAAAAGGTTTCACTAACATGGCTAAGTTTTTTATTCGCGGGCAAGCAGAAATCAATGCAACAAACAACCGTGGGGACTCTGCACTGATACTTGCCACTGGCAGGTTAGGGTCTGTAGGGATGGTGAAACTTCTGCTGGCACAGGCAGGAATCGATGTGAATCACCAGAACAAAGAAGGTTACACTGCACTGATGAAAGCAGTAGAAGCTATGGATGTTGATGTCATCAAACTGTTACTTGATTCACAAAAGAATGCTGTATATGGTAAAATGAAAAACTGCAGGAGTGAAACTGTGCAAGATATTGCTAACAGATTGGGTCTAGGAAAAGTTGTGAAATTGTTAGCAGAATATGGACATGAACCAGTAATGGAGGCAGTTCGGTTGTGTGATGTGGACTCTTTCAGTATCTTGATAAACTGTCAGTTTTATGACTCACCAGAGTTGAGAATGACTGTCAATGACACTTTTCAAGAAATTTTTAAAAAGCATAAATTTGGCAATGAATCATTTAGTGTCAGTGAAGAAAAGATTATTCAGAGACTTTTAGAGCTCGGAGCTAAGGTGAGCGATCGCTATTACAGTCTGGATCCTGTATTAGTTGCTGCAAGGACAGGCAGTTACAAAGTGCTGCAGTTGCTGCTGGAACACGTTGCTACTGTTAATCAACCAGTTTTCAAGACAAAACATGAGGATCTTTTTAGAGTTGCAGCAGAAAATGGCCGCACTGATCTCATTCAACTTTTGCTAAAATATAGTGATGTTTCTAAGCTCCATTATTCTCACTTAGTATGTGCTTTAACAAATGGACATACTGACTGCGCCAGATTTCTTCTTAGACAAGGTGTAAAGGTAGATATGAAAACTGCACTCAATTCAGCCATTGTCAGTCAACATCCAGTAAACGTAAAATTTCTTATAGAAAATTTCCAAGCGGAAGTGAAACAATTTTCTCAAACAAAAGACATGGACAACCTGCTGGTATCTGCCTCCAAATATGGGAATTTAGAAATTATTGGCATGCTTCTGGACGCTGGAGCTAATATCAACTGTCTAAGTGATGATAAAAAGACACCCTTGATGGAGTCAAAGAATGCAGAAGTCATCTACTATCTGGTAAAAAGAGGTGCCATTGTTAACAGATATTCCAGTGCAAAGCGAGATTTTTCTTCACCTTTGACATACATTTTGTCTCAAAATTCTGGCTATTGTGGATCAGATACCAAAGAGACAATTGTTGAAGCATTGTTGAAAAGTGGGGCCAGGGTAAACGGAAAAAGTTGTGGTGGCAGGACACCGTTAATGATCGCTATTTCTAAGCGAGAAAGCAGAAACATTGTGCAGATGTTGCTGAACTATGGTGCTGATTATAATGTAAGAGACATCAAGGGAAATACAATTCCCTTACTTGCTGTTCAGGCAAACAAATTAGAAAATATTATATGTTTGTTACAGTTTTCGAAATACAGCAAAGACATTTTAAACACTCAGAATTATGATGGGTTAACGGCTGTGATTGTGGCATCAAAAAACTGTAATCTCGAAGCTGTGAAGTGTCTTGTAGATCACGGTGCAGATGTCAATATCCAAGATATGTCAGGAAACACTGCTCTGCTCCATGCCCTGACTAATGTTGGTGATGAAGATGGACAGATTTTAACAACTCTGATCTCTGCCGGAAGTAATGTCAACCATCAAAACAGTGCTGGGGTTTCACCCTTGATGTCGGCCGTTGAAAAATGTAAACCAAATGTTGTTAAGCTGTTAATTAATTTAGGAGCCGATGTTAATTCTGTGAGCAAAAAAACACTCAGACACAGAACAGCCATTTCATTTCTGCCAAACACATCTTACTTGAGTAAAATGACACTGGATTGTATGAATTTACTTGATCAAGGTGCTAGAGCATCATATTTAAGCCCAAGTATTCTCCACAAGTTAATCCTCCAGGACAGTATACACTTTATTCCTCAACTTATTCAGTGTGGATTAGGCCCTTCAGAAGTGCCATCATCAGATATAACATGTTATTCTGTGGTTGCTTATAACCCTGATATCATGCCCCTTGTTTCTCCTCTGTGTCTGGCACTGATGACAAGAAAAGTCTCTCTAGCTCGTTATTTTATAGCAAACCTGTTTATGACTAAATCAGACACATGCATTCTGGCTTCTAGCCAGGCCCTAAGGCAGCATCTTTGGAACACAGAGTGTCTGAGTTTACTTGATGGATTGTCAGCACAACCAATGTCCCTGTTTACCCTGGTCTTTGTGTCAGTGCAGACAGCTGTAGGTTCAGGCCCCGGACGGGAGGGGAGAATCAGCATGCTGCCTCTACCCCAGCTCATGAAAGATCGCCTGCTGTTTAAAAAGGAGGCAGTGCCGTTGGATGTGACGTCTACTGGCAATTCAAATTGTCTATAACGTGACGAAGGCAGACTTGACCTTGGCACATCCCCATTAAGTTTCAAGTAGGGAGCCAAAACCTGGCGGCTCAGACCTATTAGGGGTGGGCTGAGGGCCCCCTCCCACTCTGCTAGAAAATGTGCAAAGAGGCTTAGTGCCTCCAAGCTATGTACATAAGTTATCTTGCTAAACATGTGTGTATGCGTTTCATATTTCAAATATATTTTACCACTCAGCACATAATAATTATTATTCTTACGTATTTAACCAAGGCTTAAACCTCTTGAGCATCCTACCCACTTGAAAATTTATGAGAGAGACTGACTCCCCCCCCCCCCTCCCCTTTGCCCCTACCCCATCTTATTTGTTTTGATGTTAGTGCGGCTTGTTTCGGTCACAGATTTGTTGCAGTGCAACATGGCCAAGTCGTGTCAACTGGAACAATAGTGTCAAAATCAGCTAACTTAATGTCAAATATTAAGTAATGACCACAATGGCGGCTGCAGTAGCAGAAAATGTTATGAGAAGTAGAGACGGTTGGCTCAGTGTTAGCCACATCGTTCATGGACTGCTGACTGCTCTCAAATGTGAAGCCGGCATCATATAAAAACGATCACTATTACGCGAAAAGAAACCTTTTGTTGTTCTGTTACAGTAAGATGACATCTGTTTGTAACTGTAACATCTGACAAGACATCAACATGAAAACAATACTAATAAACTGAAACTCAAACAAAGAGAGCAATGACAAAAATAGCTACATCTTCAGGGTTGTCAAATGGTAAACTATACAGGATCAGATGAAAACTAACATTATCATCATCGTAATGCGGCAAATACATTCATATGAAGAGTAAACTCTGAAATTTACTTATAAACCGGGTAACAAAAGAAATAGTTAGTGACACAAAGAACAACAAGAACTGCAGTAATACCAGCAGAGAACAGTTGTACCACTCATTATAGTAATGAAAGAAACCTGCAGGCTTCATAATTTAAGCTGCAATTTTTTTTAGTTGCTGTGAGTTAGATGTGTAGTGGTCTTAAGTGGAAAGAAGTTGAGTATTGATTCTGCTATGTTTAGCAATCTCTGTTTATACAATGCTGTTTTATTTCTATATTCTGCATCAGCATCTAATTGCACATTGTGTTGCAAACATTAATTGCCTGTATTAGACATGTCAACAAAGCAAATTTTCTATTTAAAAAAATATTCAACATTTTTTTTTTAAATATTGCTGTAGGGGGAAAACACACTATTTAGTACATGTCATAACTGCATTCCGGACTGTTCCATAGTGCTCAGTCCCCTTTGTCTGGAGCAGGTAAAGAGTGTCACTGGGGCCAGTAAAATCTTGATTAAAATCGTGTCTGTTGGTCCTGTGTACTTTGTCCTTCATGGTATTAAAAGCTATTGTTGAATTTTTTTTTTACTGTACATTTCACTTACTGGTGAATCAAAGATTCCAAAGTGCATAGACAGTTATTTGTTTTTTTAACAATTGTATGAATATTTTGTGTAAAAGAATTCACTGCTGATGTTTCCTGTTATGCCAGTTCTGGAAAAACTGGACCTTCTAGATTTTGTAATTCACATTTGGCAACCTATTAAAACCCATGACACATGGCATGGGTAACCATATTTGACCACAACCTTCTGTCCTCTGTGAACTGTCAATCATATTTGATCTAAATGTTCTTCCATGCCATGATGTCAAACTGTCCATCATCTATTTGGACTCCCTCTAGCTTTCTTCCCCTTTAACTCTTCCGTAGTCTTGACATACTTTCCTCTTCTCATGTTAGTTGCGTATCCTTTACAGGACGTTGCAGTACCAACCCTAACAGCCCCTGGCTGTTGTGTGGTTTCTCTAGGCAATTTACATCCAGTAGTTTGCCATTGCTTTCTAGAGGGTCGGCTTTCTTGATACCACTGTCGAAACCAACGCAAGGCGCATTGCCCGCAGTTGGGATCGAACCTGGCATCCCGGCATTACGAAACGAAGTGTTCTCATCGACTTAGCCACAGAGCCGACCTCTTCTCATGACGTGCCAAAAATATATTGTTTTGGTTTGAGCCAAGTGTTTCTTATAAATTCCCATCGCCTGTTTGATTATGAAAAGCATTTTTTTCAAAAAGTAACACTGCACCCTGGCAAGTCCCCATGTGGGTTCTGTGGTCCCAATTTAGGGGAAAAACAGAAGAGACCCTGTGCCTCGTTAAATAGCATATCATAAAAGTATACTATTCAGAGTGTTTCCTTCGAAGTCAGACTGCAACTTCCTGAGACCTAAGGATGCATGCAAGGTTTAGATTTAGGTTTAAACAGCGGATCAACATGACACAAGGGTAGAACCCATAAGTACTCCGTTCTACTTCTAACTCAAGCCTGAGACCGAAGAATCTTAGCTCAGTGCACGAACTCTGTAGCACTGGCGAGGACCCTGAAATACTTTAGGTAGATTTTTTAACTCCAGATTTTGCCCTGGCAGCACCTTTAAGCTACTCTTTTCGATTTCAACAGCCAAGGAATTTTTTATGTGCACAACAATATACACGGGCGTCCAATCTTACTACCCAGAGACCAGGGGATATTACTAGAAGTCCACATGAAAAAATCCCAGCCTTCACCGGGACCTGAACACAGGATCTCCAGCACTTGAGGCGGACACCATGCCACAAAACCACTCAGCCTCCCCCCCATACCCATTCATATGCATACAAATAAGCCAGCTCTGTAAAATGGATATGCATGTGAAACTCAAGTTCTGGAATAAGACCAAAGTTCAGACGTGGACAAACAACCAACACTTTCTGCCAAAGTTTACAGCAGGAGAACGCCAAGAGCAAGATGAGGAGACCACCACACCAAGCATATGACAACAGGCCTCTAAGGACACTGTTCAGCTTGTCTTTTTTTTCCATGCCATATCCACAATTAAGGTTGGCCATAGTGAACCCGCTGCTGTCTTTGGGGCAGTGAGTAAGGTGACCATCACTGGGGCTGAAAATGGGCTATCCCACTAATATGTTGAGCCAAAAATGGGAAATCTCACTAATATCTTGAGCCAAAAATGGGAAATCTCACTATCTTTAGCCGAAAATGGGACATCCCACTAAAATATTGGCTGAAAACTAGACACCCCACAAATATATTAAGCTGGAAACGGGACATCCTAAATATATTAGTTTAACACCTCCACCCTTTTCCTTTTTTCTAGGTCACTGGGTGGAACAGGTTAATTACTCGCTCCACAGTGGTATTAAACCCGAACCATTGCCGCCAAGAAATAAACAAAACAATATGCTCTTCTTTAAATGGCCAGGATACAAATGAGATTTGTTTTCCTTTTTTTTAATTAACATTTTAGACTAATTATTTTATAATGGTCAATTTTAGTGACAGGTGTTCATACATTTTTTGCACTTTACATTTCAAAACAAATCATGGTTGACATGGAAATAGCCAGCATCTTGGAAAAAACACACATGCATGTACAATCCTAAATTTTCAAAAACTGAAATAGGTATTCAGAATTTAACTACTGAGCATCATAAGGCAATAAAACAATTTTTTCAAGTATTTAATCAAATATACACTTTTATAATTTTTACCTATTATATCCACACCATACTGCATGTTTCTAATCTTTATATTAGTTGAGATTATTGTTTTTTGTACGTACAACAAACAGAAAAACAGAAATGTGGGAAATTGAATTTTCAACATTTAAAGTCAAATAAAATATAGTTAATATAGAATAAAAGTGTGTGGGTTTTTTTTTTTTTGCATCACATGCTTGGAAAATTTCACATACATTTAACAATTAAATGCACCAGCAACATAGGTTTTGCATTCTATTGAGAAAGAGAGAGAAAGATCATAAGTTTAATATTAGCAGTAGGTACACTTCATCAGATTCAATGATTTGATAAGTTTCCTTATATGAACTCCTTTAAGTTTTTTATGTCCCTTCTTATGGCATAATGAATGGGTTTATAAGAATATTTTCACTAAAAACTGAAAACATTAGCGTGTAAATCGTGAAAGTAAACAAGTCCAACCTTTTGGAAAAGACCCATGCTTTGTACATGCACAATATAACCATTGCCAAGAAAATTTTAATAGTGACCATTATGAACTACAGCCAAATAACAGATCCAATGAAATATCCGTATGGTGATGACTTTCTAAGTTTTTAATCAAAAGTTTCCACTTGCAAAACATCAATGTGGCAGCTTTAGGATACCTCAGTTAAGTGTTTTTGTGTATTCCTGTGGTTTTGCTTGATTCATGTATGTGCTGATAAAGGCTCTGTAGCCACAATGTTCACTTTTGGTTTGTGTGTTTTTTTTATATTGTAAAATTACTTCCTAAGGTCTGAATACTTAATAACAGTCATATTATAAATAAAATGGAGTAATCTATATTAAAATCGAAACAACAACAAACAAAACAATTTTTTTTAAGCTGACGGACTGGCATGGCCGATAATGCCTCTCCACAACCTGCGATCTTCAACAGCACAAATCACTTCGTGTGTTGACATCCTTCTATGACATGACAAAAGATTGTCAAGAATTGTCTCTCACTGTCTTCCTCTGTCTCTTTTTCCACCGATCTTTCCAGAGGTCACAACATGTTCCAGTTTCCTTCTTCTCATAACATGACCAAATAAATCTTCAAGCCCTCACTAATTTCAAAACTTCTGGGTTGTTCTTTTGGTTGACCAATGAACTCTAATAATTCTTCTGTAAACCCATGTGAGTGGTTCAATATGACCTGAGTGACAGGCTCAATATGATTTGCGTCAATATGACCGGTATGAATGGTTCGATATAATTTGCATGAATGGTTCAGTATGACCTGTATGAATGGTTCAATATGACCTGAATGAATGGTCCAGTAGGACCTGTATGAATGGCTCAACATGACCTGTATGAATGGTTCAACATGACCTGTATGAATGGTTCAACATGACCTGTATGAATGGTTCAACATGACCTGTATGAATGG